TAACACTTTAATGCCCCCGAAATCTAAAAGCCCAGAAATCGCAGCCTAGCTATAAACCATACTATAATAGACTAGATGGTTCCTTCAAGGGCGAACGCTAAAGAAAAATAATATAATATATAATAATAATAATAATAATAATAATAATAATAATAACAATAACATTGCAGCTGCTCCTCTGAGTGGGCGGTTATTGCGGCATCATCTGCAAACAGCAGCTCTCTGATAAGTCTCTTTCTTATCCTGGTTTTTGTCTTCAGCCTGCGAGCATTGTAAAGGCTGCCGTCAGATCGAGAATGAATGAAAATACCACCCTTCTGATCTCGAAAGGCATGTGTCAAAAGAAGTGAAAAGTATATTCCAAGGAGGGTAGGAACAAGTAAACACCCCTGCTTCACTCCATTTTTTTCAAAAATTGAATATAGTGTATACAAAAACGTAAATAGCACTTTTAACCCCATTAGGCACCAGGCATATTAGGTTCGACTCTACTTTCTTTAGACAAATGGGCGATGTGTTCAACATCACACTAATTGCCTTTACTTCCGAGGATTTTACCTTGTATCAATTTTAGCCTGGATCGATGTGCGAGCCTAGGGGGGTTTAAAACAACAGCCACAACAGCAATCTGATTGTGGGTTGAAACCAAGACCTTAGAGCTGGCATCTTATCGCTACACTACCTTGACATCTTGCATTTTATACCCAAAAAAAAAAAAAAAAAAAAAATTTGGCAGTAAAAAAAAAAAAAAAAAAAAGAAAGGAAAGGACGCTTTCAGGTGTATTTGGCATTTAGTGCTAGAACTATATTTATAGACCAATCGACACTCCTTGGATGATGTGGTCAACTGCATGCCCGACCACCTTTGCGTCCCATGACTTTAACTTGATATCCACTCAAAGCTGGGTCAACTTGGGAGCCAATGTCATTTGTGAGAATAAAATAAATAGTCCGGTACTTTGTGGAGTCGAACTCACGATGTTCGGATCCGCACGCAACAGTCTAGCCTCTACACCCCGACGGCTGCCTTTATGTTATAAAGAAGATATATACTATGTAATAAAAAGGAGACATGTCATGTGGTCACATAGACAAGAGAGTCAAACCACCCTAACTAGCAAAGAAGAAGTAGTTGTTAGTTTTGTTAGTTTCTTTACTTATTTACCTATGACAGTTTACATTTACTTTCAACTGGCATTTCTCTTTACACAAAACAGTCTTCTAAAAGCAGTGCAAGCCAACAGCACGCGAATGTTGGCAGAACTCTTGAACGGGCCTACGTCTGCTGGAGAGGTGCAAGGCGCCCTGTTCTACGCTTGCCAGGAAGGTCTGGCAGACTGTGCCAGGTGTTTGTTGCAGCAAGGTAATCTGTGAGTAGCTCACCCCCTTTCTCTGTTTATAGCAACATTCGCAGAATGGAGGGCACATGCCCAAATGCTTGCAGCACGAGGGCTAAACTTGGCCCGCCATGTGTATTACGGCCTGCCAGTTGTATTACGTATTTCTATGCTAGTACGAGGGCTCGAAGACTACTTACCAGAAGGAGACAGTCATAATTGTAAGGTCATTTTATAAGAAGAATTAAACTGGAACATGTTGTGGCCACTAAAAAGAGTCGTGAAAAGAGAGCCATAGGACGACAGCTCTTTTTCCCCTTAGCACTTTGTATCACTTGGTTTTTGCTCTCTGTGTGATGTCCTTAAGGGTAAAACGTCAGCCAGTTACAAGTGAACTGCAGTCAGCGCGGGGGAATTGTTGTTCGTTTATTTGAGGGTAGGTAGGTAGTTGTACCCCACCAGGACATCACACAAGCGATAAACACCCTGTGACACAAAGTGCCACCATGCGGATGAGGATGACCAGAGGAGAGGTCCCAGAAACCCCTTTCAGCCGTTAGGCCATATCTACGGCTAGGCCATATCTACGGCTAGGCCATATTTATGGCCCGATTATATTCAGGGTTCCTAGCAAAAGTCAGGGTAGGGCTTCAAAATCACAACAAATTGCACTCCACTAGGGGAAGACTGTGATTGTGTATGGGCATTTTAGTGTACTTGGGACTGTTCATATGTATTCTGCTAGAGAGTGCAAGAAAATTTTCGGAGATACCATTTTCTGGGGGTTATCTATTGCAAAAAAAAAAAAGGTGATTTTTGATTTAATAGCAGCGGTGTTAAGCAAGGGAAATTTAAAAAAAAGAAACATGATTTCCAAAATAAATAATGGCTACTCTAAGGCATTGCATGCGATTGATCTAAGGGACACTAACATAACACAAATTAAGAGAACACTTAAAGTTAAATTATTTCCCTTTTCTTGCTAGATTTTTAAAAAAATCCCATTTTCATGCTATTAGTGGCGTTCATTTCCACCAGCAAGGCACAACAAGGAACTAACACCCGGTGACACAAAGCACCATCAATCGGATGAGAATCCCGCTAGGGTAAGTTCCAGAAACCCCATTCAATCGTAGAGGGCGCTGGCTTTGTCATGAGCTTGTGTGAACCCTGAAATGCGTCTGCACCTATGAGTGTGCTGTAGGTGTAGAAACGTTCAAACCAACTCGACACGGGGACTATGTTGCGAAGGCAACCCCATCCCTCACACTTTTCTAGGCCCACAAACCAGTCAAGCGAACAAGGCGGGTATTTTAACATCCTATTAGCAGAGAAAAACACAATGCAATGCAGGGCTTTTTACTGCCGGTAGGCAACCCCCCCCCCCCTTTTCCCCCTCCCCCTCCCGCCAGCGTTAGTATAATGGACACTTTGCGGTGAGATACAATCAGACAGTTATTGGTAGCTTCGAAATTGGAAGTCTTCGCTTGCTGCTGAAAATGGGGACGGAGTGCTTATAGGAATGTCCCGAGTACTGTGATGTCGATTCTTAATTTAACATTTAACAAATTGTAGTGAGTTCCTGCACATTTTTTTTTTTCTAGAAGAAAAACCCTGCTGTGATGTATCAGTCATGTTATAATTGTCACAGGACAGACGGACTTACATCTAGATTTGTAGCTCCGTCCAAAAAAAAAAAGCCGTTCTACACCTTCAAACGTATTAGGCATTCAGGCTTGATCTATATTTTATAGACCAGTCGGTACTTGGTGGGTGATGTAGTCGCTTTTACTTCTCAGGACTTTGCTCAGTACCCATTTAATGCAGGTTCGACCGGAGCTAAGATCATGTTTGAAAAACAAGTTCGGCTACTTTATAAAGTTTTATTTACTATTGAGATCCATAGGGAACTTCTAGCCGCTACATCACGGCAGCTTCCAAAGATATGTTTTTTTTCATAGTAAGTTGACTCCAAAAAAAAGTAAAGACCCTTTTCCATGCCTTTAGGCGTATAGGGCATATAGGGCTAGACCTATATTTTTATAGACCAATGGCACGAGGATGGGTGATGTGGTCAACATCACGCCGGCCGCCTCTACTTCCCGGGACTGCACCAAGTACCCACTCAAGGCTGGGTCGACCTGGTTGTAGTTTCCCGCGATTTCTCTACAGTCAAGTTTAGGGTTAGGGTTAGCGTTAGGATTAGAAGACAGTAGATGAACACTAAAAAAAAAGCACCACACAACAGCATACTTGCACCCCTTGAAATAATGGACTGTCAGGTCAGCTGTGGATTTCCCACGGGGATTTCCTGTTAGGGGTACGTTATAAATTAAGAACCGAAGAACTGTTAGCATTTATTCTTTGTAAACAGCAAACTTATATCAACACCCTGCCCGGTATGGACTTTTTGTTACTTTAAACAGTCACGGGCCCCAATGTGGCCTAAGAATTGGGCGGGATTTCGTGGATGTGTGCGTAGGGGATTCTCATCCAAATAGTGACTCTTTGGTCACAGGATGCTAATCGCCTAGTAAACGGTTCTAGTGTGGTTCAACTTTACTCAGCGGCAAACCTCGTCTTTCACAGGAGCAGCGGATCCAAACACCAGGAACGTCAGTGGAAATACGCCCTTGTACTTGGCCGTCAAGGAGGGACACACAGATGTGGTGGCCGCCTTGTGTGAAGCTGGTGCCAAGGTGGACGCTACAGTCGGGAACAACACGGCCCTGCTTGCGGCAGCCAAATGGGGAAGGGACGATTGCATGGAGGTAGTCAGTGTGTTGTTGTCTGGTCGGTGTTGTGGGTACAGTATGCTCGTCTTATCAAAATATTCCCAACAGACAGAAGACAGACAGACACACTCACTTACATAGACTTACAACACACACAGAGAGAGAAGAATACAAGCAAACTAACACACGCGAAAGCACACTCAGAAGAAGGAGGAGAAGAAGAAGACAGAAGGAGGACCAGGAAGAAGAAGAAGAAGAAGAAGAAGAAGAAGAAGAAGAAGAAGAAGAAGAAGAAGAAGAAGAAGAAGAAGAAGAAGAAGAAGAAGAAGAAGAAGAAGAAGAAGAAGAAGAAGAAGAAGAAGAAGTATGACTGAACCAATCCATAAATTGTGCAGTTACTGGCTACTTTTTAAGTAAATTAATATTTTCCTTATTGTTAGACAAATTTCAACATTAATGAATTTCAAGCAACTGCACGTGTAAATTACAATGACTCGCGTTAGCGCTGGGTAGCGAAGGAACATATTTTTTAAGTTACAAAAGCGATTTCTAAATAAATACTCTTATTGGACGAGGCAGACATTTTGAAAACCAGGACATTTTATCCACAAAGTGTCTATTACAGTAGTTTTTGTTTTTTTTTTTAAAGTTAGACGTTGAAAAAGAGAGAAAAAAAAAAATATTATCAGGTGTCCTGTTTTATAAAAATGTAGGAATTAGCTCAAAAATAGAACATACTTATAGTTCGATCTGTAGACAGTGTGTGTTAGATTTTATATTTTTAAATATTTGTAATGCCATAGGAAAGTTTTAATTGTAGCATAGTTTTTATTTTAGTGGCGTTGCAGAGCTTATTGTTTCGTTAATGTTTTAGTGACAATGGTTCGGATTTTAATACCATTGTCGAACCAGCAATTAACCCTTTCAC